TTCTTTCTGAGGAACAAACAGATGATGCTGATGGTTTCTGCTGAACTTTGATCATCACCTATGATCTAGATGCTGAAATCTTTTTCTTTACAATGGACATAAAGGTTGTCCATATTTCTTCTCCATCCAGTTTGACACACACCTAGCCACCAGGTTCTAGATCTGGAAGTTCTTTACATCAGTTTTCAGTCAGAGAAGTGTTTGTAAGCTCTTTTATCTTTTTATCTGATTTGCCTACCTTCTTTATGTCTGGCCACTATGGAAACAGTTCTTCTTCATATCTGGAACAGAAGTTTGAGTTGCCGTCCCATCAGTATTTGCTATGGTATTGATCAGTAACTCAGAAGAGCGAGAAATGAATCATTCTGCCGTAGGATTTTCTCAGTTCTGTGTCCAACTCTCAAAGCCACTACTTGCTTGTGAGTAATGTGGGCTACTAGTAATAAGATCAAAATAATATTTTGCTTGGAATGACAAATTCTGTTGCAATGAATTGGGTTCTATCCACAAGTTGCCAGAATATGAAAATGACACTGCACCATGTAAAGTCTTCCTGGTATATTATTTCTATAGCTCAACAACCAGGTCTTGGGGTATGTCTAGACTACATGACTCTGTCAACAGAGCCATGTAAAGTCGTTTACTTGGCATATTCAAAGAAGCGGGGATTTAAATAATCCCTGTGTCATTAAAATAAACATGGCCGCCGTGCTGTGCCAACAATCAGCTGATCCAGCACAGCGCAGCAGTCTAGACCAGTGGTCACCAACCAGTAGATCGGGATCTACTGGTAGATCTTGGAGCCTCTGACAGGGGATCTTGACTGGTTTGGCCAAGAGGCTACCAAGTGCAGCTCTTCAGCTGCCTCTCCCTGCATTGCCTGCACCTAGAACCCCCTCCTACATCCCAACTGTCTGCCTCAAGGTCAGGTCAGAGCCCCTCTCACACTCCAAATCCCTTAATCCAAGACCAGAGCTAGCACCCCAACTCACTGCCCCTGCCTGGTGAAAGGGAGGGAGAATGGGGGAGGAAGGGAGATTGGAGTGAGCAGGGGAGGCGTCTCAGAGAAGGGTCAGAAAGGACGCGGGGCAAAGGTATTTGGGTTTGAGGTAGATCTTGGATTGCATTTAAATTAAAAAAGCGATCTCATGCTTAAAAAGGTTGGAGACCACTGGTCTAGACGCAGCGCGGTCGACAAGGGAAACCTTTGTTGACCACTCCGGCATGCCTCGTCTAAACTGCTGCGCTGTGCCGGATCAGCTGATTGTCGGCACAGCACGGCGGCCATGTTTATTTTAATGAAGCGGGGATTATTTAAATCCCCGTTTCTTTGAATATACCGAGTAAACTACTTTACATGGCTCCATCAACGGAGCCATGTAGTCTAGACGTACCCTTGATGTCATCTGAATTTGCAAGTCCTCTGAAGCTGGTCTCTTGCGAATATAAGAAAGGCCATACTGGGTCAGACCAAAGATCCATTTAGCACAGTAACCTGTCTTCCATCAGCAGCCAATGCCAAATACTCCAGAGGGAGTAAACAGAACAAGTAATCATCAAGTGATCCCTCTCTTCAGTCACTGACAAACAGAGGCTAAGAACACTATTCCTACCCATCCTAGCCCTCCAGGGAGAAGATGAGAGAACACACACGACACATATAATTCATGCTGATTAAGTATTGGAAGGAACTCAGGTACTATGGTGTTGAGCACAGTATAATAGACTAGATTAGATCAGAATGTGTGACTTATTTTTACAGAGAATCACAGTAGCACACATTCACACTATAGGACACAGAAAATTAGCATTTTGGGGCCTAAAAATCAAATTCTCCTCTTAAAGGGATAAGTAATTTTTCATCAAAACTAGGGATGTAAAATCCCTTTTAATTAGTTAACTGGTTAAACATGGGATTGGGAGGGAGGGCTGCCAGTTAACCATTAACATCCCTAATCAAGACAATAGATTACATGATTTTTTCTACACTAGATTCATTGTTATTGAAAGAGCCATTAGAATGTGTAGCGGTAGAGTAGTATAGTGCAATACATGCTTTTGGCACTATGTAATGGAACCATCACCGTCCCCTGAGGGTTGGGGTCACAGCCCACTTAAGTCAGATGCAAAAAAAGAAAAAACATTCCCAACTCAGCTACAGAAAAATAAGTCTGCTTTCTTTGGTCACAGGTCCAAATACAACACACACACACAGCTCCTTCCTTTCGCCTACTCCAATTGCCCACAACTCATATAGGATTGTTTCTTTCAGTCAAGAATTCACTTTGGGAAAACAGAAAGAACTTTTTACTGTGATTACATTCCCTGAATCTCAGCACAATGCTCCTTAGTACAAGCCAGCCAATTCCTCCTGGATTTATGCTCAGAATTTGCTAGGCTAAGATCTGAGAGCAGCTCTTCCGCTTTCATAGCAGCACTTCTTTCACTCCCTCCACCAGTGGACTTGATTCTTTTTTATAATTTCCCCAAGTCCAGAGAAACCATTAGTCCCATCTTGCAATAGCTAAACTAGCCATAGCTACCAACTCTTCTCTCCAGGTCTGGCTGCTCAGACAACCTTTAAGAACAGAGAATCTGTTGCAGTGTTTACAGCAAAGAAAGCAGGAAAATTTACCAGCTATCTGCTTTAGCCACCAAATCTTAGCAAACATAAGGTATACTGAGAGGGCTGACCCACTCTGGCCAGGTGGGGTTAAAGTGGGCTGGAGTGAGCCTGTGCAAAGCCCCAGCCAATCAAGGAGAAGTTCATAGGGAGCCAATCAAAGGGCGGCTTGCTGGGGCAGCTCTGTTATAAGGAGCTACTCAGCGGACCAGAGGGCAGTTAGCTCCTTACCAGTGAAGGGAAAGGACTGGTTCCTAGGGAGAAACACCTTGGGTAGATCAGTGCTGGGTAGCTCAGGACAACACACAGAGAAAAGCTCTAGATACCTGCCAGACTGCAGCCTGGACACAAGAACTAGGAAGGTACAAGGATCACAGGGAAGTGGCCCAGGGAACATTGCAAGTAGTCAAGGAGAGTGAAAGAGGGCAGGGCATGGCTGCTGCTGGAGGGTCCCAGCATTGGAACCCAGAGTAGTAGGAGAGCCTGCGTTCCACCCTTCTCCCTTGCACCGCATCTAACCAACCATACTGTATGGTCTAGCCAAGGGGCTAGACTTTGGGGCTATAGTTGGGAGCTCTGGCAGATGTAAGAACTGAGGGCTGCTGATACCCCCTGAAGGGGGTGAGAACAGAGTGGTCCTGAAGAAGACACTGCGGTCCAAGAAGTAACGCGGGTCTATGGAGACAAGCTGGAGAGTGGAGCAATGATGGGAGACACACTGGTCAGAAACATTATCAATGGTCAGAGCTAATTCCCGGAGTGACCAGCAAGAGGCACCACACTGGTGAATCTTGAACCTGTTCCAATAGGTAATGTTCTGCCAAAAGATGGCACAAACTGACTGATGGTGAAGATACTGATCCTTGTGTGCCAATTCAGTAGACACAAAGTATAGTAACACCAGCTTAGTAGGCCAAACAATCAGACAATACGATGAAGCCTATTAAAACTCCAGGGAGAAAATGATGATTTAACAGTGTTTTTTCAAGGCCTAAGGAGATGATCAGAAGGATGTTTTCTCAAAGATACCGTTACCAATTAAAGAGAAGGATTGTTTGTCCATTCTTTCTATCCCTCACAGGCAGGCTGTGCCCACACTCAAAAGCAGAACAAATCTGAAATAAACCCCAAAATTCTGAAGCACTAACTGTAACTCTTTAAATTGGACATAAATACTTAAATTCAGCTGTACTTGAAATTCTTGCTGTAATATTGACATAGATATGGAAATACTAGAACTTCATCTAAATTTTCAAGACAAATGAAAATTAATGAGCTGATCAGCATTTTTTTCCTCAGCAAAAGTCACTGAGCATTGTAAGTTAATGGGTGGAACAAGGACTACCCATCACTGCTACAAGAATGAGCTAGTAGTGGAAACATTTCTTTGTACTAACCCAATGTACATTAAATATTCAATAGGGAAAGCAAGAATGTGACTGTAGAGAAAAATAATACGTCTTGATAGACATTTTTCTTCCCCATCTAGCTCTAAAATATTGCAGCCCAAGCAAAATCTAAACCCATTAACTCTTAGTTATCTTCAGATGAAGACAAACTGCTTTGAGATACAACTGAAAGATTTTTAAAAAGAGAATCCATTGTCAGCAGTAGAAACTCAAATTTTAAACGTTATTATAGAAGTAGTTCTCAAACTTTTGTACTAGTTGACCCCTTTCCCATAAGACACTGAGCGTGACCGCCCCTTATAAATTAAAAATACTGTTGTGCATATTTAACATTATTATAAATGCTGCATGCATAGTGGAATGGAGGCTGACAGCTTGCAATTTCTCCATGTAACAACCTCCAGACCTCCCGATGGGTCCTGAACCCTACTTTGAGAATCCCTGTGTTATAGGAGATGATGATGAAAAATAGTTTCTGATCACTTGATCCAATGAAAAGTTACGACTACATTAATAATTATATGTTAAATACTCTGTACAGATAACATTTTAATATAAAATAACTCATCAGGAAGCTCCAGAGGGGTATGAATATGAAATAACTCATCAGGAAGCAGACATTTTCTTAGCTCTATTCTGTTTATTGAGACAGGAAGTCAAGAGCTTTGTGTAAAGAAATAGGAAAGGATAGAGGTTTTCTGTTTCTTAAGGTAGTCATGGATACAGACACGAACATTTCTTTCTGCTTCCAAAATAATCTGAATTACATATTTTTGCAACTATGTAAAGCAATATTAAAATCACTGAAATTTTCTATTAAAATATAAAGAGGAAAAATTGGCAAAAACATAATTTTCTGCGGAGTGGGGAGAGAGAAGATTCCTATAAATATATTTCTAGCCAGCTACAAGTCTCAACAAACCACCATATATGCCTTATATTACCAGGAAGGAAGCTAAAATGCTCACCTGTTCAATCTCTTTGGTTTTTGTTGCAATTGCTTTTGAGCGGCCAAGAAGCTGGTTGTCTTCATACAATTCTGTACTATCTGTTATATTTGTCTCTGTTTCTTCTGTCTGTTCAACATATAATGGAGCTGAGGACCCCGCCTTAAATAAAAACAAATATTACATTTTTTCTCTAACTACATAAAGTTAGATACACTTACTCAAATGCCATTTCACTCCTTTTCAGAAATGTTAGTTCAAAGTGAATCAGTTCCTTGGTCATGTTGGACAAGAATCAGATGATACTGATAATGCCAGCAATGAAAGAACTAGAAATCAACAACTAGGGGTGTTGTGGATCTGCTACAGGCTACTTAGCAGGATTACAAAACTGTAAACTTCATACAAGAGCTCTTGTGGCACTCAAATGTACAGGATAAAAACTGATGGGGAAGTTGAAGTACCTAGATATCTGTTAGGTAACAAATAAGCAAGCACCAAGAGGATTCCTAAATTAATTAGACGATGACTTATGAAAATACTAACAATGTGTGGTTACACATGGAGCTGTCCAAGACAAATATAGACTGTTCATGACCCCTGGAGTTTAGACTTCAACTAGAAAAAGCCACCTGAACCTACTCAGTATTGATAGAAAGGAAATGATTCAGAAAACAGGGAAGCTTAGAAATAATGATTACAAGTGACTTTAACATAGCATCATATAGTAAGAAATGAATTCACAGAACAGTAATATTAAAGGGTAATTAGATTTTATATAAGCCAAATTCATGAAGAAATCTAGTTAGGTTTACAGGGTATTCTCCTTTATTGAAGAAGGCTGGGAAATAATCGGACACCATAATTAAGTGAAAGAACACAAGAAAAAGAAACAGCTAGCAGTCCTGACTGTCTGCTTCAAACACTTGAGGCAATATAGGTAATTTAAAAAACATAATAAAGTATTGTTACTGTATTAAATCTTGTACGGTTGTCTCCCAATCATCTGAAAGGTAATTACGTTTGTTTAAAAAAAGCCAATTAAAATAAAAAAAAAGTTCAAAGAACATTAAGAACTAGACACAAAAATCCAAATTCAGAAAATCTAAAACAGCCATAATGTTCTTAACTCATTTTGTTGAGCCAAGGTCCACAATACAAAATGTTAGCCAATATTTTGGTAAGGGGAACAAACACACACCATTCTGAAAAATGTCTTTAATACCCCGTAATCAGAGAAGTAAACCTACAAGTTCTGGTTAAGAGTATCCATACTGTAATACTTTTCTCAAGGCCTTAGCCCCAAGCCCCCATATATTTAGCTTACATTCCCACATTTTGTTTAAACAAATTATACAAAACAATAAATCAACGGACTCCTGCAAAATTCTATCTTAAGTAATACAAATTCCTGGCTCTCCCTCAAACTTCCATTCTCTTTCTCTCTCTCTCTCTGCCTTATGGAGCTGACACATGGAAAGTCTTTGGATCCTCAGAAGTTTTGCAGTGTGCTATTCTGTTTCTTCTCTCACTCTTCCTTCCCCTCCTCTTACAAAAATGTCTATCATTCTGTTTCCTTCCTCTTCTATCAGCAGCCTACACTGGTCTGTACCCTACCTCCCCTCCTGTTGACAGAGCAGTCACACCTAGGCCATTCCGCTGCACTATCCTGGAGGGAAACCATGGCTCATTTACATGACTCAATCCACTTGCCCGGTTAACATTTTCAATCTCTCAAGGTGAACTATACAACAGCGTTTCTTAAAAAGTTTAAGACCGATGAACACTAAACAATTTTTTTGTTGAGGGAAAAAAAAGTTGGGGGAAGTTATTGAGGGGAAAAAACTGTCTCCTGACCCTTTAAGGTCAGCCATTTTGAATTCTGTTCGCCACGGCACACTGGCATGCCACGGAACACAGTTTAAGAAACACTGTTGTACAATATGAAAATATTTAATTGTTATAGTACTGAACATGGCCTTAAACCCTAGACAAACAGATGTAAACTTTGACTCACTTAAGACTTTGTGACATTACATATGATTCATAGCACTGTACTACACGTTTCCATGGATCACTATTAAAGGAAATTTTATCTTCAAAATAAACATGTACAATAAAGTTAGGAATAAGAAAATTTCCATCGCGGCCAACATGACCAATAGCTCAGGATTTACTGATTTTTTTTGCTATAGGGACATTATATTTGGTATGAGCAGGGGAAGAGGGTCCCAAAGAACTAGCATGAAAAAGGTGCACTGTAGGAAATAAGGCCTTCTATCCCAAGAGGTGCTGGGGGATGGCAGAGCAGAGGAAAGAGGCAGCACAGCTTGAGGATCCAATATATTTTTCCATGTGCGAAGTAGGCTCAGTTCTGAGGCTGTTTGATATTTTGATGCAACTTGTCCACTCTTGTATACCTGCATACACACACAAGCCCTCTCTTTACACAACCTTTAGCCTGGTCTACAATATGGGGCTAAGTCAACCTAAGTTGAGCACCTCCAGCTTTGTGAATATCATGGTTGGGAGTCAACGTAGCTTAAGTCAACTTACTGCTGTGTTTACACAACACTTGATCAACAGGAGAAACTCTGTCAACTTTTCTTATGTTTATAATAATATTGGAGATTGCCTATCTCCTAGAACTGGAAGGGACCTTGAAAGATCATTGAGTCCAGTCCCCTGCCTTCACAGCAGGACCAAGTACCATCCCTGACAAATTTTTGCCCCAAATCCCTAAATGGCCTCCACAAGAATTGAACTCACAACCCTGGGTTTAGCAGGCCAATGCTCAAACCACTGAGCTATCCCTCCCCCCCCTTGCTCCAGTGGAGTACTGGAGTTGTTGGGATGGCTAATTCCTCAGCCTGCCTTTCCTCATTCTGCAGTTAATTTAGTGGCTATTCAGAACACTCGTTAAACTGAACCCCAATGGATTGATCACCACAGTGCTGATTCCCAGCAAGTATAAACTTACCCTTTCTGAATGCTGCTAAAGTAGTACAGGCATTCCTTGAGTTACAAACTTCTAATCTATGAACATCTGCACATACAAACAAAAGCTCACCTGCAGCCTCTCCTGAGGGGAGAGCAGGCAAGAGGCACAGACTGTGGCAAGTAGCAGCAGGGGGCTGCCGTGGAGCTACTGTCTGGGAGAAGCGGCACTTTGAAGGGGAAACCACCACTTCTCTCTAGCCTCTGGCTGCATGGACTTGCCCTGCTCCTCTGGAGTCCTTCAGTGCACGCTTGCGTTGCTTACCACCTTCTGATGAGCGGGGGTTGGGTGCAGCTCATGGGGGGAGGGAGGAAAAAGGATTGGCAATAGGAGCCAGAAGAGTGTCTGCATGAGGGTGAGGGGAATGCCTAGAAGTCCCCTTCAGTGAATCTCCATCTGCTTCCTCATCCTCCTCAACCTGCCTTCCCTCAAGCTCCAGCATTCAAGGTTAAATAAACTATTTCTACTATTTTGCATTGCAAATATACAGCATTTCAGCTACATAATGGGTTAAATAGGTTTTGTGGGCTATACTGGGAACCTAACTGCCATTTATAACATCATTTTTCTCATAGAAACATGAATTCTGAGTTCCAAACAATCAACTCACAAATGAACTTTTGGAACATAATCTGTTCCTAAATTGGGGACTTCCTGTACTAGATAAGAGGCAGAACTGCTCCATACTTTGTAGAGATGTACTGAATTAGCTTCAGGATCTGTTAAGTCTTCCACATGATCCAGTATAAAGCATCCAAAATTTTACCAACAACATTCTAGATAATAAATAATACACACACTCAAACTTAATATAATCATTTCTGCATAAGAAGAAAGATTGCTTCATAATAATGACAATCACCACAGGTTGGACTTCCCTGGTCCAGACCCCTCAGGACCTCAGTGGTTCCGAACCAGGGAGTTTGCCAGACTAGGGGAGGTCAAAGCTGGCTTCCTCTGCTGCCGGCCTCTAGGCTCCATTCCCACATGTCAGCTCCGGACCTCAGGCTGCAGCCTCTTGTCCCAGCCACTGGGCCCTGTTCCCAGTTGCTGGGCCCTGCTCCTGTCTCCTCTGCTGCCAGGTCTGGCTGGAGCCCAACCCCTGGCTCTCTGCTGCTGGGTCAGTCTCTGGCCCCCCACCCTCCTGCTGCCAGTAAGGCTCCCAGTCTTAGCTGGGCTCCAGCCCTGGCACCCGAGCTTCACTCCTAACTGCTGTCCAGCTCTCTGGTCCAGCAACATCTGTGATCCTGCTGTGCCAGTTTTCCCCATAAGCGAACCATTCCCAGAGCACCCACAGACTCTCCGACGATGCTGGACCACAGATGTTGCCAGACCAGAGTGTCCCAGACTAAAGAGGTTCCATCTGTACAAGAGAATAGCATCATTCCTTCAATCTAATTCTTTAATTCCAGAAATGTGAGAACCGCAAGAAACAATAACCAGGTTATTTTTGCTATTTTCCATACTGACATACAATGCACACATATACTAACTATATATTTACACAAAAGAACTCATCTGAATTTAAACACTCTGAGCAGATGTTTCCTATGCAAGAAAGAACCAATTATATGTAGGACTTTGCATAAACAGTAAGTGCTTCTTTGTTTTTCTCTAAAATGACTAACTATAGAATCTAATTCATTCATACTCATTATTGAAAGACATACTGCAAATTACCAAATTGCGCCACAAAAAATTCCCTTGATTGTTAAGGATCCAATCCTGCAAGGAGCTCAAATGCAAGCATAGGAGTCGGCCAACACAGGACTTTCTGCAGTTTTAGAATCTTTCTTACTTTATCCACTTAAAATTTGGTCTTAATTCATGCTATGCCAGCAAAAAATGTGGGTTTTTAAAGCTACTGGTAAATCTCAGGATCATAAGTTTCACTACAGCATCCTCCTGCTAAATATTTTCTGAAATTTATTTAATTCTTTGTTGAATTGCATATTTTATAAATCATGAAGAGAAGAGAAGCGAAATTCTACTGTTGGAATATTTAAAAATAAATATATGAATGTATTAGTCTTACATCATATTCAGTAATTTCAGGTAAATTGCTTTCATCAGCCTTCTCTGATTTTTCAGCTGCCCACTTGCTTGCAGCCTCTGCAAGTTCCTTTTCAGATAGCCTGCTGCTTTTATCCAAGACCTGTACAAAAATGAATGTTACAGGTTAGATTTTAAAAAAATATCTAGAAAAGTCAAAGAAGCAATTTTTCAGAATGACACACAATATTTTCAAAATGTGAAATATACCACAAAAATAATTATCTTCTACTGGTCTAAGAATTTTAAAAAAAAAAATACCTCCAAGCCGAAGAACACACATTTCACTCAACTTAAAAAAAAAAAAAAGAAAACACATTTTTTCAGACCTATTTTTATTAATGTCAAGGAAAACTAGACAAGGTTATGTAGCAGAAACAATGAAAAAGTGTTGATTTAAGACTTTACAATTAATTCAAAGAAATCAAATGAGAGATGTGTATAAATATGCAAAAAACCCCACAAATATAGATTGGTTTAATAACTGTCTGGTTTGCATGAATAAAAGGCTAAAATAAAGATAACTACAAGTAAAGGATAAGTACAATACACAAAGGACTCTAAGTTAACTTGTCTTTTTCATCAACAGAAGCTGAGCCAATAAAGATCTCATCCACCTTGGCTCTAAATTAATTACAAGAATCAGGAAACTATTCTGTAAACTATTTAAGTTATCAGAAAACTGCCACTAATTTCTGAGAAGAAAACGTGGATAACACAGAATACAAGTTATCAAGGTTTTGGAGTCTTTGTAATCTACCTTTTCAAACAGAAGTATCTCTCACTAAGTGCAAGACCATGATTGTTTTGTTCTTGAAAGTAGTATTACAAACATCCATATGCACATTGTGTTCCTCTAAAACTCTGTATGTATGTACAGTATAATTATATATTTTAAAAAAACTACACTACTAATTGAAACCAATGTCCCAAAATGGTAAGAGTTTTCTAAATTTTTTCTGAAGAATAGCTAGGTCGGGGCAGTGGCAAAACATCTTGTCTAGTCCTTTAATAAAAAAAAAAAAAAAAAAAAAAAAAAGCAGCTGTGAAAACAAGTGTCCCTAAAACCATGATCTATAGGTCAATAAATGCAGAATGACAAAATGGTAGGCAAAGCAAATTCTACAATGGGAACCCACAATAAGACTACATCTCCAGACTCTTCATGATTGCACTTGGCAACTGAATTCAGGCATCTCAGTTCTCAACTCCATGGTACCACACAGAAATTCAACTGTTTTTGCCTTTCAGACTTTCTCCAAAAACAACAGTTAGACTTTCACTCAGGGTTTCCATGGCTTTCAGTATTTCAAAGTAAAGTTTTCTTAACTGTTTGTCTAAAAAGTGAACTCAGAAGTTATTCTGGTACAATGCACTAGCACTAGCTATTTCTAAACTCCTATTCATTCTAAATAGTGTTCGTATTTCTCCTTACAATATCTTTAAAAATAAATACATCCTGTAGAAATGCTCACTTTTCAGCTCAGATTTCTTTCATTGCAAGTAGCCTGTGAAAACTGAAAATGTTTTTATTGCAATAGAACCAAGAACAATACTGAATGATGATTGTTCATTGGTGCTTATTAAGCCTGTCTGTTCAACTAAGTAGCATAATTATGTAGTTAGCTCTTTGTCCATGCAATGTTTATTACACAAAATTAAGCAGCTCGATATTTACCATGCCTCTAAAAAATTTTCCTTCCTCTAAAATAGGGAATTATAAATAAAAAAAACTTTGATGCTTCATCCTTATGGTGCTTACATTATAGCTACTCTTCTTCCAGTACCCACTGAAACTGTTTATTCCTCCAGGTGAAGCTGCTGAATATAATTCAACATTCACCAGGCTTAGTGGCAAAGCACACTGCATCTGTCTTTTAAATAAGCAGCAAGGAATCTGAATTTAACTTGGAACCTTTCATAGGAAGTACCACTGTTAAAAACAAAAAACCCCACAAAAATGTAGTTCACCTTTGAAGAAGGTACTGATGTGGAACCTGATGGGGATGCATCTCTTGATGTTTTCAGTGATTGAGCTGAAGGTCTCTCTTTACCTACAGAGAAGAATAGTTATTATTTTATTCAAGTTGTGTATTCTCTCTCTCTCCACACACACCTCGCAAAATTGTAATGAAAATTCACCAGCCCACACACAAACCTCATTCTTTGATGATGATAATAATCTACTTATATTCTACTTGCTAAGCAAAAATAAAATTTTGTCTCTGACTAAGTGGATGAACTGTAACACTTTTAAAGGTGATACTTATATTAAGAGAGCCTATTCTTATTTCCATTAGTTAACCAGAAGGACATTTCAGTTAGAGACTGTAGGAAAAAGTCATTCTATATTCTTGTAACACCCTTAGTAAGATGTAAAATGAGGAATTCTACATCTTGTCATGTGGAACATCTCAGTCAGTCACCAGTTACAGACATCTTGTCATGTGGAACATCTCAGTCAGTCACTAGTTACAGACCAAAACCAAAACCAAAACCAAAACCTGGGAAACTGGGTATTCATAAGGAAATTCGGCAAAATGATAAGCCTACGAAGACCCAAAATGACAGGTGGGATCCTCCTTTGTAGCAAAAAAGGCCTTAATTCTCAATGTTAATGTCAACAATGTTAAAACAGGTACAGGCAGTCCCCGGGTTACGTACAAGATAGGGACTGTAGGTTTGTTCTTAAGTTGAATCTGTATGTAAGTCGGAACTGGCGTCCAGATTCAGCCACTGCTGAAACTGACCGCCAGTTCTGACTTAGAAGCCCGAGGCAGAGTTGCTCCGCCCTGGGCTTCCTGGAATCAGCTGCTGATCAGTTTCAGCAGCAGCTGACTTGGGGATGCCTGGGGTTCTTAAGTTGAATCTGTATGTAAGT